ACACTCGCATGAGGCCCGCCATCCCCCTCCAGAAGCATGTGGCCATCGCCCTCTGGAAGCTCTCCACGCCGGACAGCTACCGATCCATTGGGAACCAGTTTGGCATGGGGAGATCCACCGTTGGAGCAGTGCTCATGCAGGTACGGCACTCGCCGGTCACTGGGCTGGGGGGGAGGGGGGTTGCAAGGAGGGGATGGGCCGCCCCAGGGAAAATGGGGAGAGTAGGGGGGAGGAGGCGAAAGGGCCCCGCACCGGAGGGGTCGGTCTGTCCCAGCCGTACTACACGCCGCCCGGGGGCGTTGCTTCCGGGAGTGGGGCGCGGGGCACTGCCAGGGCACGAAGACTTCCAGCCACCCGGGCGCCCCACTGATTCGTGCTTTGCTGTGTCTCTCCGCAGGTGGTCAAGGCCATCAACCGGGTACTGCTCCACAGGGTGGTCCGCCTCGCCGACCCAGACGCCAGCGGCGGGGGAGCCATTGACGGGATGCACTAAGTTAGTTCGAATTAGCGCTGTAGTGTAGACATACCCTAAGGGATCTTCTGGAAAAGGCTTTTTTTTCCGAAAGATCCCGTCTAGACTGGCGCTTTTCTCCGGCAAAGCCCCGAGCCAGAAAAAAGCAGCAGCCATGTTCATGCAAATGCCGCGGGGGATATTTAAATCCCCCGCGGCATTTGCAATTCCAACTGGTCTCATTAGCATCCCTTTTCCGGAAAAGGGTGCCAATGTAGACACAGCCATTCTGTATAACAAAAGCCATTTCAGTTTCTTGTGTCTGCACGTATACTAGAGGGAGTGAACTGGCCTTCACCGAGGTGGGGAGAGGCCAGAAGGATGCGCTGTTGAAATGTCTTAATGAACTATTTTGAGCTGAAGCTCGAACTCCCTCTAAACTTGTTTCTTTCTCTGCTGATAATTCCTCTTTGAAGTTCGCTTTGATTTCTTGCCCTGACATCAGACTTGTTTGGTTAAGGGTATAAAATACTAGGATTAATTGTATTAGCCAGCCTCACTGGGCCCGGCTCTGCTGGGACCACGTTTGGCTCACTTTGCCTTTATTGGCCAATAAAACTGTCTGTATAGCCGCGTAAACTGAGTGAGGCTTTTGCTTCGACATCATCTATCAGGAATCTTCTAATTCTGAATTTATGAGATTGATGGGTTCAGTGAGGGAAGGAACAGCATATATTATACATAGAAGGGATGTGAGCATCCCCAAGCCAAAACTGAGGGGTTTGTCACTGATCAGGAAAGTCTGGGGGCATATCGCACAGATCTTGAACCTTGGGATCTTGAGTATACTAGGCACTCTGTACATGAGAGTCTGAAAGGTCAGAGATATTTAAGACCTCTTGCTCCTAAATGTGTCTCCAACCCTAAAATAAACTTATAAAAGAGCAGGCTAAACTATTTATGACTGATTACACCAAAATAAAAAAAGGCTACCTAAAGCTGTGGATACAATACAATTCTGCCTCAGACCATAGGTAGTGGAAAGGAAACAAGGGTTGTTGATCTATGCCAGCTCTTATATCATTGGCTAGGAAAACAAGGAAGAGAAAGCACAGGCACAGAGTAATGTACTCTGCTAGTGAACAATTTTCAGGTCTCAGGCATATGGAGCACATGTGCACCTTGAGTGAATACACACAAAAACCAGCACCTGAAGGAGAACATTATTGGCTGTTTCAGTACAGACATTAAGAAATGGATGATTACAAACTGAAATATCCTCCCACCCATGCAGATGGTGTTCTCCAATCAAATTTGAGATATACTTGATGAACACCAAGGGGACAGTTTACACCATGGCCGGAAATGCTGTATTTGTTCTGAGAATAAATGGAGGACTCCAATCTATAGTGGTGTGAATCTTTCATTTATGTAAGCACTACATTTAAAGGGAAAAAAAGTCACCCTGAGATAATAAAGTAGACATACATTACTAAGGATTTTCACAAGGAATTTTACCTTGCTGAATTAGAAACTGTGTGGTAGGAACTAAGTCTGTCCATGGTACAAAGTCACATGTTTGTAAATCCACAAAATACTCAAAGATAAACCTGTTTCCAGCTGGGAACTGAATACCTGTAAAGTTAGAAACAGATAGTGAAGCAGAAGGACAAATCCTCAGCTGGTACACATTAGAATTTGATGTCAAACAGAGGAATTAGAGATTTCATAGTTTTCAATTGCCTCTAAGTTTTGTGATGTAAAGCTAAACAACTGAACATAAATTTTTTTCAGTAGTCAATATAATTTGTTTCTCAAAGAAATTAAATATGCATATATATATTTCTAGATTTTTAGAAATATGCCAACCATCTATCCTTCTTACCTTTCATTTTAAGGTCAAAAATACATGTTGATTATCTGAAAGTGTATGCTACACTGAAACCCCTTCGCCCCATGTGAGTGTGTTTCAAAGCCTTATCAACTGTCTCAGGCTCACACTATGGGACTAAAATAGCAGTGTAAAAATAATTGCTCTAGCTGGAGCCTGCACTCTGAAACCTGACAAGGGAGATGAGGCTCAGAGCCTGGGCTTTAGCTCAAGTGGGCACCTCTACAGCGCTATTTTTAGCCCCATAGTCATCAGACTAGGTTTCTGAGGGAATCTTGATACTGCAATTAAAAACCTGTGGTGGGCCCTTGCCAGCTGATTTGCATTCACAGAGATCAGACTAAGGGGCTATTTAGTTGTGGTGTGGACATTCAGGCTCAGGCTAGAGCCCAGGCTCTATGTTCTTGTGAGGAGGGAAGGTCCCAGAGACTGGGTTGTAGCTCGAGCCCAAATGTCTATTCTGCCATTAAATAGCCCCTTAGTTCAAGCCCAAGCCAGCTAGCACAGGCCATCTGTGAAAGTCTAATTCCTGTGTAGATATACTCTGCTACAAGTGTTTCTTTGCATTGTAGACATTCGGCAAATGAGTAAAACTTCTAAATGTAAAGTAAATAGCAACTCTGGAATTACATGTATTTACTGTTGCTTTATAAACAGATTTTTTTTTAGCAATCAGCTGAAGTGGAAACCATGGCTGGCCTACCCTGACAACTTCACAGTAGTATTAATAACTGTGATTTTGTCTGAATATGATGAATAAAAATTATTGTTTGGAGAAAATCTGGGAATTCCATGTTGGAAACCCATTTAGTTTTTAAGTAATATACATTTTAAAAAGTGTACAAAGCCATATATAACAGATAGCTTTTAAGTCCTTACACGAAGATTTTTTATTTATAGGATTTTATTCTAAAATATAAAAAACTTTCAATCCAATTAAAATAGAAACACTGTAAAATTAATGAATGCTATATAACATACTACATGTAGCACAACATACCAATAGGTGGTTCTCCTTCAAATATATCACGAACAAAGTTACTGAAACCACGTGTTACATTTACAAGAGACTCATCTGTGGTATTTATGCCAATCAGGGATTCCTCCTCATAATCAGTTTCTCGTCTTAAAACTCCTCCAACTGCCCAAGTAAATGCAAAGACATAGAGTTTCCCTAACAATGATGGCAACTTGTCAGGATACTTTTCCAAAAATGATTTCTGATCTTCCCTGGAATGAATGAAAAAGAAATAAAGTTCAGTGGTATAACAGGCTATTATTATTGTATTCAAGTGCTTCATTGCAAGTAATTAAGTTATATATTGCAAATTGTTAATATGCACCCAGTAGGTTTATAAACATAAGAACTGGTAGGGAGATATTTTCAAAATAGTTACTAATAGCCAAGTGGCTTGCAATATATTATACACCTGTTGAGTATCAGATGGTAAATAATTCTGTAGTAATACTGCCAAGACTTCTCAAAAAGTCCTAATAAGACAGGATATGTTAAGAGCATTACTCAATTTTTGCTAGTGCACTATGAGGTGCTGTTTAAATGTGAGAATATGGTCTAACATAATTCCAAGATAGTATTGGCTGGTGGTCATGAATATGTTGAGGGTCAAAGAACACGATCACATGATGTGAACTAAATAATTATTCTGGAGGAATGCACCACAAACCAACTTTACTGGGGCTCAGATAAAAAGGTCAGATTGTTCTTTAACTAAAGAAATCTGAACAAACAACTAATTAGTTTTATTCAACATCTCAATTTTGCAGTGAGGCAGATATCACTAGCATAGACACATGTTGAGGATGTAGTTTGGAAAAGACTGGACATGCAGATACTAAAAGTTAGGGCCAACATAGAACTTTGTGGTAGCCTGTTCTTTAAAATGCAAAAAAGACTAATTTTATAGACAAGCTCCTAATTATCCAATTTGATTAATATACTCTTTATCAAGGCATTTCCCTTTTTTTGAAAGAATAATAGCTCATTGTTAACAAATCTAAAGTCATTGCCTGACCTTTTCTTTGCTACTGAGGCCTTTGAAATCACTGCTTTGGCTTCAACTGTTAGTTGGGAGCTGAGGTACTGGGCCTGGAGTACTTTTGAAGTACCTGGAACATAGTGATGACTTTCAACACCTACAAAAATGTCAAGAGACAGCATTTAACATACGTATGAAATAAATATCTAAGATTACACAAACCACAGTCATACCAATTTTAGTTTACTAGATAATCAACTTTGAAACATCTCATTTGCATTACGAATTTTATGGAATTTCAAAAGACAACTACTTTGAAAACATTGAATTGACATTGGGACTACATTTTGCCAAAATGTTTTTATGACTTATTCCTAATATACTCTAGTTAAAAGCCCTTTTGGCTTCTACCAACCCAGGAAAAGAAAAGAATCGTACTACATGACTGATGATCTCAGAGCCGAAGCCATGTTAGCCTGTAACTGATTTTTTTTTTAAATGTTCCAGTAGAGCCTTAGGGTATGTCTACACTACAAAGTTAATTCGAACTAACAAATGTTAGTTCGAATTAACTTTGATAGGTGCTACACTAGCACTCCGCTAGTTCGAACTTAATTCGAACTAGTAGAGCACTTAATTCGACCTAGGTAAACCTCATTTTACGAGGACTAACGCCTAGTTCGAATTAGCTAGTTCGAATTAAGGGCTGTGTAGCCACTTAATTCAAACTAGTGGGAGGCTAGCCCTCCCCAGCTTGCCCTGCTGGCCACTCTGGCCAACACCAGGGAAACTCGTCTGCCCCCCTCCCGGCCCCGGACCCCTTAAAGGGGCACGGGCTGGCTACGGTGCCTGTGCCAGGTGCAAGCCTGCCAGGACCCAGCCAGCAGACCCTGCACCTGGCACGGCACAGAGCCACCCACCCGATGTCCCCCAGCCCACCCCCTCTTCCCGGGACCAGGCTGGTGGCTCCCGGGAGCTTGCCCGGGACCGCAAGAGGTGG